CTTGGCCTATTAGAAATCTAACTTCACAGAGCGTAGATGTGGGCATGTTTGTAAGCCATTTCAATATTTTAGCAGACTTGTTTAAACAAGACTTCTTTCCTCTTTCCCTCATTCTTCTGTCCTCCATCTTGTTCAAAGAAATTCGATAAAATAGCAGTGTGATCCGGTGGAAGAGAATTTTTGCGTGCCATGATCATCAAAAGAAAGAGGGGGTGCTTGCAAACCGCCTCAGTGGTTAGCAAGTGCGTCTTGTTTCTCGCTGTATGCGACTCTAGTGAGAGAAATAACGTCGTTCAAGTACCGTAACTTGCACAGTCACGAATGCAACATCTCAACGAGGCAATGCTAAATGTTGTCAACAAGGGGTGCCTAAAAATGGCACTTTTTGGCGTGATCACGATGTTTGTTTACAGCGTGTTTGTGGCGTGCCAAATGTTTTTTCAACACTGCTCGGGCATGTTAACAGGATAATCATAAGTAGGGACAGGTATTCGTGGCCAGTTCATTGGCAGGTCGTGGTAAAGCGGTATTGACATCGCTTTTCGAAGCCAAGGTCACTCTGTTACACTAATCTCCTCTATACAGAGACAGTCTTAAGCAAGCATCTAGCTTAGCAAATGTTGATAAAATATTTTATTTTGATATTAAAGTGAGTTTTCCCATAGTGCAGTGACCGACATCGACACTAGCTTGACGTGAGGCCATAGTACCAACTACGATGAATTCACCCAGCAGTCTGGCTTGTTGTAAAGATGTCAGACACCAGAACTTTCAAAATAGCCACTTCTGCACTAAAACATGCAAAATGGCCACTTGTGTGCCACTGACACTGCATTGTGGAGCAGCTGTGGAAACAACTCATTATCTTGTGCAAGCACATCATGAGAAGCTCATGCCGTGTTGTGACGTCAGAGTACAGTAGGAACAGAAAGGGGCTTTTCGAAGCATACTGCAATTACTTTTTCAGGGTGCATTGATGATTAGCATTACATCTTCTATGCTCATCAGGGCTTGGCCTTCAAAATTTTTGTGTAGTTCTCTTTCAAGTGCACTGTTGCACTTCTTGAAAAATGCCCCATTGATTGGATGGGTGGGCATGACTGATACATGTATTTGTTCAAGATGGTTTAAAAAAGTTGATTCTGTACGAGAACTTTGGCCGAATCATTGGATAGCTAAAGGGCAATGAGGGGTTCAGGCCCCCGCTCTGCAATATATTTACACTTTGTATGTGTTTGTGTGTACACCACACAATCAAACATGTGTGCAAACATACTGAAAGGGTGATCAAACCTCACCGAAAATGAATAATGGATATCCCTGATCTCAAAGTGAGATTTTCCAGGTGTACTTTCTTGCTTGTTTAATAAGAAGTGCAGCCACTCAGGTCAACAGAGGTGCTTTGGTGAAATATGCAAATGAGAAAAATGCAGTGGCCCATGTTCCTTGAGCGATTTCCAGCAGTGCTAGATCTGACGTCCGTGATGTGTGGCCCGTGTTCTTGGAGTGATCTCCAGCAGTGCTAGATCTGACGTCCGTGATGTGCTACTCGTCTCGCACTGAAGTTCTGAGAAGTTGAAACAGGACGATTCAGTGACAATGTAGCCTGTAAAAATAGTATCTGTATGGAATCTTGTGGGGTAGCTTACTCACCGAGTTTTGCTATTGTTCTGTTTGTGTTGCTGACATGCAAGTGGGGAAATCGCAAGGATGTCGCCTAACCTGTCATTCTGCGGCCCCTAGTATTTGAGTTTGCCATCTTTTGGTACCCTTGACAGCGAAGAGGAACAATTTTGTGGAATCGTGTGGTACAAGGTGCGCATGGAAACGCAGGTTCCAAGAGATCTCTACATTCAAACAAGTTCTCTTCTTCCATGACCCGGGGGAAAATAATTGGCTTCTTAAAGAACTGAAACTTGGGTGACGTCATAATTATTAAGTCTGGAAACCATGATCACAATGACTAAAATAACTGAAATTAATTGATAATCTGATAAGGTCGTGCTCTAACCACCAAAAGCTAGTTGCATTTGTAGTTGAGTTATGAACAATCATTAGCTAATGCACTTTTGCTATCTCCTGAATATCGATAAAAAAATTGGGCAAGCTGGATTACGTTCATGATTTATACTGCGAAAGAACATGGACAGGAGAAAGGCTAGACTCCTGTACCGTATCTCAACCAAATTAATTGAGAAGCATATAAAAATACACCAGCTCACAAATCATCCATGGCAGCGCAACCATGAAATCACTGAGGCCTTCCGTATCGGAAAGCACGTGCAGTTGCGTGCGTCCCTCAGACTTCCATCTTGCTCGCTAGTTGAGGGTTTGTTTTTCTAGATGACACATCAGTCCACCACTAGCATGTTTTGAATTTTTCTTCTTTTTACAGTTCTTTAAGTGCATTTAAAATTATATGATGACATATTCAGCATTGTCAGATAAAGACGTAAAAGAGACAACACGGCAATGTGCCGACTTCAATAACATTATTTCTAGGAAACATCACCTATTCATCCACACACGGTGGCGCCACATCTGTTCAAACACTTGCCAACCAGAAAGGCTGTTGTCTATTTTTGTAAGAGGTTTCGAATTCAGTTCACCAACATGCTCAGAAAATGACAGTGGTATATTTATTTTTTATGTGCTTTTCAATAAACACTCAGTTCGAAGGCTGTGCTCACGTTGTCTGGTGTCCTCTTTTACCGTGTCTTTTTGTGTTGCAAACAATGAAGTATCTTCATAGACAGGAAGAATTCTTTAGTTTGTCACAAGCTTACAGAGTAGGTGGCAAAGAGGTATTGCAGTAGCAGCTAGAAACAGTAGCGGGGTTCGCGTTAAGGCCAGAGAAGTGCTCGTGGTGAAGTAGGGGCCCTTGCAGTAATAAACAGTGCACGAAACATGGCTCTCTCATTAGGGATTTGTTGGGTTTGCCCATGGTGTGACACGAGTCATATTTGCGAGGAGGGAGCAGGAAGGTCGGTCGTAGGCTGTCCCCTCCTTTTAAAAGGCGCGTGGCTTTCCTATTTGCAGCGAGCGTCTTGCTGCTGCCATGTGGAATGCTGCAGCGGAGGGGATGCCTCTACCGGCACCAACGAGGACAGCGGTCGGGACGTGTCACCCATGTCGCCACCATCACCCTTGCCCCCAACACCCCAGGTCTCTCTCTCTCTTTCTGTCTTTCTCCCTGGTGTGGCATGCGTGTGCACCAGGCTTGTCCTCGCTAGTGAGTCCTGGGAGCCTGTAGCTATGTTAGTTGGTCGACGCTGCTTGTGCATACAGAAGCAGAGGACCCCGTTGCATCTCCTCGTTTCTTCACTGCCGACTCCAATGTGGTAACTTAAAAGGGGCGCGGCAACGCATTTCCAAGTAACAGGCCTTAAATGAGCATCTGAATAAGCTTATTGCTTCATGAATCGACCGCTGCAAAATACAAACAGAGTTATAAGGATTTTCTGCTCGTTTTCAGACCTTTCCATCTCCTTCCATAGAAGCGAGTGTGCATAAAGTTATCTAGTAAGAGGGACGACAAAGGTGCAAGAAGATGCGTCCCTTCTCCGGTGCATGTCATGTGTACCTTGGGTATTTCTTTTTCATTTTGTACAGTGAAAGCTGTTATGAGATTGCAACAGCCGTTTTTGGCACCGTAGTTGTCTGCCACTATTGTTGGCAGTGTCCGCAACCGATATCGTGTGAAATAAAAGAAAATATCCAGGACAGAATGGGATTCAAACCTCTGCTCTCTGTGTAGCAGCCCAGTGTCTTAATATTTTTATGTCATACACGAAACCAATAATGTGTGACTAAAATTCGCACAGCAGCTTTATGGGGTATGCAATAAGTGTCTGATTGTACGTCTTATAATCGCCACAGCAAATGCCTTGCACTTGCTTGTAGCCCTTATCTAGATCATTGTATGTTACTACGAATTTTCTTTGAGTTCCTTTTGCTTGTTACTGAAAGTTCACCCTCCTTTATGATTTCTCGATTATCTTTTTTTTTATTCCTATCTCCCTTGCCATTTTGCAATTTAGTTGCATTTTGTTTATCGAACCTTCAACTAGCCTTTGACTACAGTTCCATCAAGTGTTTGTGCCAGGCGATTTGTGACGTGCATGTAAACAATCATTCATTCATTCAGAAGACACCTCACTCCATGTCGTGACCTTCTATGCTTTGGCATCCTTTTTTTCTTCGTTTCGGCTGCTGCCTCTGGTTCAGATATACATGGATCGACACTTTCTCATAGATCATGCTGTATTTCTTTTTCGTCTTTTTTCCCCCAATTCCCCCCTTTTTGTTCTGCTATAGATTCAGTGCGAACTGCAAATTTTATATATAACGTGCACCCTATTGTATGCATTAATATCAAACCTAGAGCAAGCGCCCTTACCAAAGCTAGTGCCCCCTCTCCTCCCACCTTTATTATTATTTTATTCAGCCTGTTCTCTGCTGCAGGATTCTGGGAAACCAAGTTCTGAGAGTCTAAATAGATTTGTGCGCAATTTCTCGGTACTCTTACAATGGGGTGCCTCAGGGTTGCATTCTGAGTTTTTTCAAATCGTCAGAACATTTGAGGACGTCTATCCCCCCTTGTCATGGCTCATGAAATTTCTCACAAGGATTCCTGGCAGTTTAATAAATAGAGTTAATGCATGTGCATTCAATAAAGCATTTCTTTAAGAACATGCAAGGAGCATGTGGGTGTGCATTCTCTATTCTTTGCGGCTCTTTCACGGCCATCTTAATTCTTTTTCCACAACCAAGTAAGGGTGTCCCCCTCCATATCTTGTTATATTATCTTTTACCAAAGGAGAAGGGGAAGGGGGGGGCAACTGCTCAGGATTTTACTGTTAGGTGAATGCTTAAATGACTTGACGGGGGCAGGGGCGTCGTCAGGCTGTTAAAGCCTTTAGTCTCGGTCTCTACAAGAAATTCCTAGAAAAATAAAAGTTATTTTATTGATTGATTTATTTATTGATTGTGTTTTTCAGGAGAAAAAGCTGAGCTCGGGGTCGCTCGGAAGCGGCGATGCAGCAAGGCCGAAACAGGTGACCGTCACGCACCCTGGGACAACAAAGCCCAAGCCAACTTCCAAAAAGAAGGGCTCCATCCAAGCAGATCTTGTGAGTCGCTGCTATTGCTGTGGCAACTTGTACTGGCGCGACAGGGGCCATTGTCAACCTTTCTTGCCTAGGTTGCACAAGGCGTAATGTGGTGTACACTGTTAAAGGGACACTAAAGTAAAGTACAAAGTTTTGTTAGATTGGTTGTTTATCTGTGTGGGAGTACATTGCTGCTTTTTACGTGTCAATAAATGAATTTTTCTCATCGGAAACAGTCACCGGACATTTCTAGTGCAGCTGTTAAGTTTGAATTGCCCACGCAAATTAAGTAACTTCTCGCCACCTCTTCAGATGTTGATTTCTGCGAAACGGTGGGCCTCTGAGAGCTCCACGGCTCTAATATGCAGCAGTAACCGAGGCTTGCTACACGTTTAGCTATGGTAAAAATTTGTGCTAGCCATTTTTTTACCTGTAAGCCACTCAGTAATTAAGATAAATGATCAGACATAATTTTTTGAGGTACCCGCAGTAGATGGCAAAGGGATGCACTCCAATTTCCAATTTTGCAGTTTCCTCGCCAACAAATGCTCTGTTTTTATTAGGAATGGTGAATCGCTCATCGCATAAGCCTAATCTTTCAGTATAGCTCTACTTAATAATACCCTTTAGTGTCCCTTAATGTACAAAGATACAAGTCAGTTTGTGTGGGTGTAAGTTAACCCCGAGTCATCACCTCTCCCTGTGGCGATACACATTAAGATGAACAGTGGTAAGATGTTGGTTCTGTCTAATGTGTCCTTGGAGTGTGATATGCTTTCTGGATGCATACTAGTCAATGAAAGGAGTACTGATGGCAATCTTCGAAGCTGACTTGACTCATCCATACGAATCTTCTGTATACAGAGATGGCTCCAAGAAACTGAGAAGTCTAGGAAATGCTGATAGGATATTTTATTTCAACATTAAAGTCAATTTTCATGGAGCACCTACTGATTTTTACACTAGTGTGAAATCGGGCTACTGTAACTTAACGCAGCAGTGAACAGCTAGTTGTGATGGCATCAGGAACCAAAAATGTGCATAACTAGTAGATCAGAGCAGCCATGGAAAAGCCATGATACCTCACGCGAGCATGTGACGAGGAGCTCTGACGTGTTATGACGTCATGGTGTCGCAGAAATGGAAACTAGCTCTTGAAAATGTGTAATTATTCAGTGCGCGCTCATGCTTACCAGTACATTTTCTGGGCTCTTGGAAGGTGAGCTTTTTTTTATAACAAAAAGTGTTGTTTTCGCTTCGGTACTCCTTAAAGGTTGATAAACCATGACATCAGGTGATACATCATGTCTTGGTACATGCATTTTTTTTTTTTCACTCATGGCCTTGGCTTTGAAAAAGATGGCTACCAGGATATTTTGTTCCTCTGAAAGTCCTGTGCGCAAATGTTTTTATTGGCTGTAATTGCTAAAAACAGCATGGCTGCTTCATTTTCACTTGATGGAATCTGCATGGCTGCTGGCGGTTGCCCCATTTCTGTATGTTGGAAGTGCCTCATATCGTACCAAGCAATGCATGATCTTTTATTCACGTGTGCTGCAATGAGGAGAAAAAAAAATGACGGGAGTTATAATTTGATGAATGTTGTTGTAGTGTCAAATAGCTCATTGCGTCAGGCACATTTCAGTTGGGAGGGGGGAGTAAATGAAAGGAAAAAAAAAGAAGCTTGCACACCGTGCACAGGGTGCGCTTTAAAGAACACTGTGTAGTAAAAATCGGTTGTGGAGTACCGCACTGTGATGTGCCTCATAACCCGATCATGGTTTTTGCACATCAGAGGAAATGTAATTCTGAAAAGCCTCTATTCGATACAGCGTGATGGGGCTTTTAGTACCGAGTCAACCAATTAGAAGCCTTCGGAATTTCCAGCTAAGGTATGCTGCCCCATTCTCTGTGTTTAAGCAGAGCACGGCCATTAATTAGGAGGTGACCAAAGTCATGGGGGTCATACTGGAAATGATACGCCGTAATTGTGAACCACAGCACCGTACCATATCTTCCGTTGGGTGAAGGAAGCAATGTTTCATGTGTATCTATTTTATGTTTGTTACCTAGCTGATATCAGTACATACTGAAAGGCAGCAAAAGTTAGTAATTGCTATATTTTTATTTGAAAATTGCCAGTAAGGCACATTTCGAGAGCGGCACTGCGCTGCCACAAATGTCGCTTAAAGAGACTGGGAGCCAATTTTTATGCTACCTATATTTGGCACAAAGGAAACCTCACCGGTCAGAGTGTTTAATCACTGAATGGTAATGTGGAAAATGCCACAATACATTTGTAGTCAGAATGTTTCTATCTGGGGCAAATATGAAGTTGTGTGTACACATGACAACCCAGGCTGCGAACAGTTGGTGCAAGAACGGTTCGTGGCTGAGCGTTGAAGTTTGCTGCATGCGTGTGCACTCCGCACGTGAAGGCAGTGCCGCTTCTCACTGTGCAATGCCTTTTGCCTCGCAAGCAGGCCAAAATAGAGCAGGAATGGGTAATTATTTACATATTATAATTTTCTGGACAAATTATAGTGCACATTCCAGCATCAAACTAAGTGACTACATACAGCAAAGTGACTTACTCCATGATTGAACTTGAAGACTCTTCCGCTAGGTTGCGCAACATGCCAATTTTTGGTTACTATTAAACATGGTTTAACAATATGAATCCTACTCACTGTGCAAAAAGAATGCTAGAATTTGTCACTATATTTCACGGTCTTTTCATTTCTGCCAGAATCTAATGACACGTTCTCCCCAGTTGGTCCCTTTGTGTAGCAGAACTCTGGATCCCCATTTTCCAAGCGAGGTAAAAGTATGCACAGCCTTTCACAAGTCCACTTGGTCTAGACACAACATCCACAACGGTTGTGCCATCCTTGTGTTTGGCCAAGGAGGTTCGCCTCTAGCTGTTAAAACAACTGCGAGAGTTGTGTATCAGGGAGCTGTTCTTATTCCTTCTATGAGACGTCTCTTACAAGCCTTGCTCTTGTTTTCCTATTATTTCCCATTTCAATGTGGGCATCTCATACCCAGTTGCCTGTTATATCGACCCCTCCACTGAAAGGGTTCTAACAGTATCACCATTATTAACTTCACCACCCATTCATTCACCATTCACAGCCGATGATTACAAACTGCCGCTGACACTGCTGTGCTTCGGTAGTGTCTGCTGACTGGTGCATGGAGTTAGGCGTCAATGATTTCTCGCAAGGACTTCCATAGGCATCTGCACCACGTGGCTTAATGCTCCTGCAAGCAGCTTGTGTGGCAAAGTCTTCTTCACTGACCTGTGGGCTGTTCTGAGGACAGTGGCCTGTGTGCTGGCCTCGTGGACCTAAACTTCTTGCCCTTCATCGAGAGTGCGAAAATTGTGAACTGCAAAGTGTCTGTTGAAGTCCCGTGCCTGGCATTACCTTTGCACCCTGTCTCTGTCCTTGAAGTATGTGGCTTGCAGCCAGTTGGGAGCTCGCTTGGCTGCAGATGTTGCTTGCTGAATTTGAAAAGAGCGCCGTATGGGGAGTTCAGCGGGACTGTAGTGATATATTCTTGAGGTACTTCTTTACATCAGCAAAGCCATTTATGGGTTCTTGGCTTTTCTCTGAACATCCATACTATGGAGCATTCACTCTGCTTTATTATTCGACTGGGGGAAGTGAAGGCTACACGTAGCATGTCATAATTCGTAGCCCTTGACAGGAAGTCTTGGTGAAAGCCTTTGAGAAAAAATCGATGTCTATTGTTGCCAACTACTGTGCCTGGTATACCATGCCTGGTGAAGATGGTCTCAAGCATTGTGACGTCAATTTTTGCAGATGCCGATGAGCGTGGGGTGACTTGCAGTGCCTAGGCTAGTAGTCCACGACGATCAGAAATTTGTCGTTGTCCAGGTGAAACAGGTCTATGGCCACGTATTTCCAGGGAAGCACAGGCATTGTTGCGCACACACCACTGTCGTCTACTGCAGTTCTCACATAGCTGCTGAGGCCTGGCCACCACGTAGACTTGCTGACGAGTGGCAAGCACGGGTTGCCACCTTCGTGACTTTTGTGGAGGTAGTTCACTATGTCTTGACTCAGTATTGATTGTACAAAACATTTTTCCATGAGCCGTTGCAGTGGGACAAGTTGCTGCAGAGTTTCCAATAGTAAGTCATCTTTTTGCACAATCTGTCTGATTTAGGCCAGCCTGTGGCACATTAGGTCTTTAGTGCATTCCCCATCAAATCGCCAATGAGCTTGGAAGTCTTTGGGTGCACATTCGGGTAGAAGGAAGAGCCTGCGCAACTTGTGACACCAAAAACTTGACACTGTTGGCAGATGCAGGAAATCCTTAGGGTTCAGAATCTTTGGAGAAAGCGTCTGCTGCGGCTGGAAGTTTGCGAGAAACATGCTTGACTGTAAACTGGTCGCGCGAGGGTCCTATGCGAAACTGTTGCACTTGAGGAGGCATGAGGTCCAGGCTGGTGGATACTAACAGCTTGATGAGCTGGCTGGTTTTCAATTTCAGTGAAATCTGAGGTCACGCTAGAACCCATAAGCGTGGCTGAATGGTCAGCTAATCTCGGTAATAAAGGCAGAGCATACCTGATGCTTTTTCCGCAGCGTAAGATGACACGAAGCAATGGCTGATTTCACCATTTATCTATTGCTGTCAGGACAGCGAGCAAGTAGCAAGTGCAAGTTCTGGTAAAAATTCGCCATTGCGTCTGCATGGGTGCTGCCGCGTTAATTTGTAACCAAGGCTATATTGGTGGTTACTGATACAATTAAAAGCATACAACGTAAATGCGAAGAAGAATAGATGTATTCTGTAGCACTGCGGCGTAGTAAGTGCCAGACAAATGGAAATGTCTCAACCGTGTCATCTTTTGGACAACTGTATATAGAACTATATTTTGCTGCACAAGCGTCTAAGATGCTTAATGCTGCTGCAAGCAGCTTGTGTGGCGAAGGCTTTTTTATTGGCCCAAGACCAATAACAGTCATGTGATCGAACGTGGCTGTGCTCGTGTGCGAGTAATGTCCATTGGGGTGCTAGTTGGTACGACATTGAAACTGAAATAAAACTGCACGGGTGATGGAACAAAAGTAGAAGTTGACAGAGCACTTGTCCAGCCTGCTCACTTTTGCTTTTGTTCCGTCACCGGCGCAGTTTCGTTTCAGTCTAAAGGTCTATGCTCACTTGAGCCTGCAATACATAAACAATGCTCTCGCAGTACGTTTGGATCATTGAGTGGTGGGTACTTACAGCTGGAGTGCAGTGTAGTTTCAAAAGAACCAAAGATGATATAGTTCTGTTTAGTTTGTATCCACGTTCATGCTTTTGGCGCACTTTGTGGTTGGAGCAAAACAGACTTCTCTTTCGAGTATCTTGAAGCTCCTCTGCAACAATCGTGGAAACAAATAACGCAATCGACAACTGTAACGTCGGTCCTTGTTAACCATGAAGTTTTACCCAATACTAAAGCTACTGCAGCTTCCTTTCATTGCACTACTTGTACTGGCTGGCTGGTGACATTGTGCTTGCTGTTGTTTTTCTTTTTGTTAAATCTTTTGTGCTGCCTACTTTTCGTTAAAGTCCAGTTATGTTCACACTGACCTGCCTGCACCTTGTCTCCTTCCACATGCACGCTGCCCTCGTCTCCTCCCGTGCCCTCCTCCTCTCGCACCTGCACACCGGTCCTGACCCTCCATAAAAAAAAAAAATCTCCAATAAATGTGAACGCATTGTAGCTGTACGCTCAGTGCCACAGCTCGTCGCAGCGCATCATGGCCGGAGTGAAATTTAAGATGGACGAGTGGCTGAACAACCTCTCAAACAAGGTCAAGACGGTAAGCCACTCCCTTTGCACCCCTTCCCATAGAGTTTTTCGAGAAGTCCCACCATGTGTCACAGCACTACCTTTGTCATCTCCATGTCATGCCATTTTGTGTGACATTAGCATGCAATGAATAACTAGTAACCAGGGATTTTGCTGGAGTCGAAGTTTCGACAAGTACGCCTGTCTTCTTCAAGGCTGTTCGATCTCAATTGGGCTTTTTCTGAACTAGGCTGTGCCGTGTAGAAGCGATCAACATGTAATTATGATCAAGACTTCCTTAGCGCTTGTGTGTATATGCTTCGTACCCTCTCATCCTATCGGAAAAAAGGAGGACGAAAGGGCAGCTGTGAAAGAGGGTAGGGGAGAGACTGCTGATATAAAAGGTGCGAGTCAAAATAAAATAATTATTCATTTATTATTTCTCACAGAATAACTCTTCACTTTTGGCTTACTCCATTCGTCACGGCAGCCTCTCCTCAGAGGTGGAACAGCTGCGTCATTGCGCGAAAACGTTGCTTACCTGCGCCATCCTTTGCCGAATAACCCTTGTTGCGCCAAACTCATTTATCAGCACCCAATAGCTGCAAGTTTCGACAGCCATCGAGCCCCGTGCTCAAAAATGTGGCTGGAACATAGTGTTTCACCGAAACAGGTACACTTTTGGTTTCGTCAAGCCTGTTATTGCTCGAGCAGTGAAGTTTGATTCTAAGGGCGCGGTCGCAAGCGCTGGCGTGCGTGCTATCTCGGCAGACATCAGCACGATTGGCTTCTGAACCCTTCCATGTGCTGCACTCTCAACGTGAAGAGACTGTGCGAAAAAAAAAAACATGTCTCCCTGGCGCTACTGGTGTGGCTGTATTTCCTCACACCAGCGTTTTATTAGAGTTATGTGATATTGAATGCAAAGGAGTCAGTTGCCAGCTTAACTTCGAGTAACCATACTATTCGTTCCTATCACATTCATGGCTTTGTCCTTGCGGTGAGAATGATTTTTTCAACTTGACAGTGTTCAGAAAACGAAAAAAGGATTATGGTAACAGTGCTCAGTAAGTGGGGGTGGTTCCCGAAACAGCCTAGCAAAGACAAGTGCATAGGACTATTAGTGAGAGCACGTGCGTATGTCGCCGCTTTGCTCGGTTATACGGCGCTTATTAACATGCTGGTTGACACTCCCGCGTTCAGGTTTTAAAAAAAAAATGGGTGGCTCTTCATAGCTAAAAAAAATTGGCCCCGTATCTACATGTTCGACTGCAAATGTCGTTGAAAGACTATAGTCTTTTGTGTGGAGAGAGTGAATAGAATAAAACATTTATTTGATGTTTTGTGCGAGATAATCGGTGAATGTGATTGTGGAGGTGCTACGGGAGACATGAGCGCCATCTCGTAATAATCTCAAAAAACAAAAGGATGAATTCTGTTATAGCAAGAACGCAGCATGTGTGCAAAATCTTGGAGGTCATATTTTGTAAATTTCAAGGTAGGTGGCAGCACCGTATCCTCTTAGCAAAATGTAAACAACTCGCCATGTCGTGCATAGTGTCACATTGTCAGCGCTACGTACTAAACGCTACAGTTCTTAGAATTATTTATGTGTGCCTTTTCTAGTACGAAGGAACAAACCTCAGAATCCTGGACGCGTTGATATTGTGCCTCAGGTGTGTGCAATATTCGCTTTTTATTCAATTGTAGCACAAGTGTGAACTCCAAAACCTGGGCAATTTTGGTGGGCGCTGGGGATGTGGTCGTACTTGAACCATTGCTTGACAAATGGACAGACAGACAGACCAAGATTTTTTGGTTGAAGTATCCCAAGAAAGACTGCCGTCTTTAAAAGTTAGTTTCACCGCAAAGGCAAATCAATGAATGCAAATGAAACAAGTTGAAAAGTTATATTAAGTGATGCTGGCAGCTGATTCCTTCAGATCAAATCTCACGTAGATCCACAAAACGGCCACTCCAGGGAGAGCAACACTTTTCGCAGTCTCTTGGGGAAGTGTGGGCAAGCCTCCCGCTGATTGCTGCCGAGTAAACGTGCGCGCCAGCGATCACGACCTTGCCCTTAGATGCATAGTTCACAGTTGCTGCTTCAGCGACCCCCTCCCGGGCCTTTTCAACCTCGTTCAAGATGACGAGGGTCTTTCCTCTGTGCTTTGATTGCAGGCTTCCCAAGCAGAGTGATGTTGCCGCGTGAGCCAGGCCCGTAGCCAGGGGGGGAAGAGGCTACCCCCCTCCGAAATTCGAGGGGGGGGGTGTTTTACTGAGGTAAAATAATAAAAATAGGTGTTTTTTAAGGCCTTCAAAAAGTGGGTTTCCCCCGAAAAAGATTCCTGGCTACGGGCCTGGCATGAGCCCTCCGAGCGAGAAAAATGGGCCGGCTCTTTCGATATCTGCTTCAGCCGCATTCGTCACCCTCGCGCACTTTAACCCGCAGGTAGAATATGCGGTGCGCGAGGGTATGTTATTAATTTGGACTTTATATGGGACATGACAGCGACAACAAAAGTGCGTCGAGAGCCCTGTAGTTGTCTTTTGTTTATAATATTATAACTGCCTTATAACTGCTATTGCAATATTAAGGCTATTGCACAATTAAGCTTAGTGTTTGAAAAATGCAGCATTGGGCAAATGTTGCTTCACAAATGCTGTGTAACGAAACTACATCTTCTCTCAATGTTCTGTCAGTTACAAACTTGCTCGAAAAAGCCATTCTGGCTGCTACAAGCCTGCTCCGAAATGTCTTTCTGGGTGATCCAAGCCTTCCACAAGAGGCGCTCTTGGCTTCTAGGACTGCTCCAAAACTCATGTATCCTGTTCCATCCCTATCTCCTTCTCCCCCACGGTAATCTTTTGCAGTTGCCCTCTCCTCCTTCTATGCTCGTGGAGAAGACACGAAGCATATAGACACCAGCGCTAAGTAAACTAGTTGCAGCCTTGAAGAAGACTGGTCTGCTCGTCGAAACATCAGCTCCAGCAAAAGCCCTGTTTATCAATTTTTCATTCCATCGTGCCCTGACCCCTGCCTTTTTCTTTTTTTCATCATCCTGTGAGGCACAAACAAATGAATTCAACAGGCAATACACACTTTTCATGCTTTGCAAGTGCGTTTTTCTGCACTGCACATTTGTCCAACTAATGGTGGCACCTGTTACGCCTCTAGCAGAGAGGAGGCCCTAGTTAGACATGCTGGGGCTCAGTTATTATGTGTGTTTATAGTGAGAGAGCTGAGTGTGCATTTTCCACGTCATAGGGCAAGCAGACCATGCTTGAATGTGCTGCTTGCAAAATGGACTCGCCGCCACTAGTAAGGCTAACTGCATCGCAGGAAAGCTAGCTTTGCAAATATGAGAAGGGCTTATGAGGCCAAGAAAAGCATTAGGGATGTTAATTATTACCGTGAACTGTAGTGTAGTAATTATGACACAAATTTAAATCAGTTAAAGTGGTAAAAAAAACACCCTTTCCATGGGTGGGGTGCGAGCCTAGTGGTGCCCTCTGGCAAAAGGAGTGTTCCACACACACACACACACACACTTTAGCTACAAGCAGTGTGGCCAGCACTCCCAGGGATTACATATACCCACTAAAATGAACAGGAAAGCACCTATCATCATGGCTCAATGGTTAGAGCATCGTAGGTATATTTGAAAGGCCTGGGGTTTGGATCTCTTTGGTAGAAATGGCAATTTTTCTGTCCACCTTGACGGGACACTAAAGGCAAATATTAAGTCGATGTTGATTGCTAAAATAGCGGTTCAGAAACCTCGTAGTGCTACCTTTGTGACAAGGAAGTGCTTATTTTCAATGAAAACTACGTTTTAGTGGTCTGCATCGTGTTAGCACACTTCAGATTACCTGCCTCAAAGTGGAAATTTTCACATCACTGTTGTTGTGCACAACGTTGCCCGGCTTTACTGCATGGCCGCCGACATAATACCAGCAAATCGAAAGTGGCGGGAGCCACAGTAGCAACAGCGGCCTTTGAACAATTTCCTGCCATAGCCTCCAAGATGGCAGGTGTGCTTGGTTCAACTGGGACCCACTAGATGGCACGACATGCCCAGTTTAACCAAGTTTAACAAGGCCAAAATTGAATTTTCAACCACTCGTGCTATTCTCCGTAGTAACGTCCAGCGGTTCTTTCTTCCATGAATGAAACAGAAACGAAAGAGCAGCATTTTGTTACGTCTCTTGAAGGTTCTTTATTTAGTGCAGCTAGTTTGATTACTGGTTATTTTTTTGTAGGCGGTAACACTGACATCGTCGGTATCATTTTGCGAATGTGCTACTCATGGCTCATGTGTTCTTGTGTTTTTACCTTAATTTCTCGGTAGATAGGGCACTGCTGTTGATAGTATTGTGGTTTTAGATGATGTCAGACATTGAGCTTTTACTCGGACATATATTATTTGACTTTAGTGTCCTTTCAAATATTTTAAACTTACATAATGATTACCACACGACAATTAAAGACAACGATTCATGACCCCTCAAATCTAAGGCTAAAAATAAAGTGCTATTCTGCGTTTTTTTGGTTTGCTCAATTTGGGCAAAGAAAAATTGTACTTCTGAAGTGGCTCACAAAAAGCAACACATTGAACATTTGTGTGCCTTCAGAAATGTGTTCTTATGCTGAAAAAATGTAGTTAGAACAAAGACAGATTTATTACATGTGTGTTACAAGTCATCCAAACTTTAGAACATCGGGTTAGAACATCGGTTTGAGCTGGTTTCAAATTTTCACGCATACTTGCCACCCTTCTCCCTCACAGGGAGGGGAAGGCGTAGCCCGTCGTTGTGGCTAGTTTAGACCAATCGACGAGCTGCATGCTACGTCAAGTCGGCGATCGGCGACTGTGCATCATTGCACGTGAAAGTAGGATTGGTCAGGCGTGGGAAAGGAGCGTGAGAATAGTCTTTCGAAATGGAGGCTCTGCGTGGAGCGCAGGGCTTTAATATTCAGAAAACGTGATCGCCGCGGTCTACTTTACGAATTGCCGAGCTTATTTGAGGGGTATAAAAAAAAAAGAAGTCGGAGCCTGTTGACTGCCTCTTTAAAGGGGTAATTGTGGGTTTTTTTTTTCATTTTTAATTTTTTTTTTTGTCAGCAAGGCAATAGTTGCATCTCATTTTCAAAGACCATTGGTTATAATTTTCTGTGCTGAGTATGGGATCACTCCAGCACTGAGTCATTGCATTCATAAAATTTAGAACAACATTCAGTCTTGCTGCGCAACACCACCATGCCAAAATTATGCGCGGTGTTTCAAAGTGCATTCACTCATACCGGTGTCACATGGCAATTTTTGATCGCAATCAGGGCTGATTCAAATTAGGCTAGATCTGGATCAGGTCGTGCTACACGGTAACATTTAATCGCAGTCAGGCTTGATTGATATCAAGATGACTTTGATTTACGCATCACGCCACACGTTATCTCAATTAGGCTGTGCGGTGTAGCAGTGGCCCATTTGTTATTGCGATCAAGAAGTCCAGTCTGTGTTGGGCCTGATCGCAATCGAATGTGCTCGCAGGTCATGGGTGTCAGATGTGGTATCAAGCTTTCCTTGTATTTGTGGGAGGAACTATAGTCAGTTACAACCTAAGAATAAATGCATGCTCTACCCCCAGTAATGCAGCACGCCTGTCATTCATCTGTGCAACAGAGCAATTATCGACGATTTCCATTCTAACCACAAGCACATTTTCGATGGTAATGCAAATACTACACGTATTGCAACTTGGAAGTTTGTTACTTGTAAAAACATCGTTTCGCAGTGTAGTGAAGTTGGTATTTTTGATCAAATGTGCAAAAAAGTAAAATGTTTCAACCGAAAACTACCAAAATGAACACGAGCCTGCATGGGCAAGTGATATGTCCAAAATCTGTGAATTCTATCTGACGTCACGTAAATAACCCGACTATAATTGAGTAAGACATGTATGCAAAGTCGGGCGTGGATGGGACGGTGACCGTTGTGGGCAGAGCTTGCATTTATTCTTAGACTTAACTGACTGTAGTTTGCCTTCAACAGATCGCAAGTGCACTTGCATGTGCCTCGCATGCTGGTTTTATTCAGTGCCTCACTCCTTTGCTGCATGAAATCTCGTGTTGTGCTGACCTAGTGTACGATTTGGTGTGTGTTTGTCTTAAGGCTGAAGTCTGTCTTAGGTGAGCTTCACCTGGTGGTCAAGGGCTCGTCTCTTTTAAAGGAGTGCTCACACGAATTTTGAATATTTTTTTGTTGCTCTAATAAAAAATTCTGGTGTTTAGGACCGTAGAATAAGTATTCTGGTGCCTATAAATGTGTCAAGTTTTTTTTAATACCGCAATCATTAAAAAAAGACACTTGGTTTTGAGGGACGACTTCTCAGTGGCGTGTTATCTCAGTGCGCCACAGGGAGACATCTTTTTGAATTGTATTAGCGTCAGATCTATAGTCTGCTCGTGGCGCATGTGAAAAACGACAAGTGAATTGTTGTCTCATGACCCCGACAGTGATTTCCGCTATTTAAGCTGCATGGAGGACGCAGAGTTCGCAAATCTAGCGGAACTGTGTTGATTGTCGAAATAACGTCCATTGCGGTGAGGTGGGCTTAGAGGTGCTCGGCAGCGAAAACGTTAAAATAAAATGTAAAATATTTTATACGTGTTTTCTGACTGCAGTGTGTGAAGAACGTTAACAGTGCATACTGTGGAATGAAAAATGTCCTTTTATTAATGTCTCAAAATCATGTCATTACTCCTTGAAGTAGCATTTTCTGTGAAGCTGCACTAGAAGTTGTACAGCATTCATTCTGTATATCTTAATTTTGTTCTTAGGAGTCCGTAGCTCGCTGCCGGTAAAATCTTGGTCTTTTTTTTTCTGTTGTTACTTGCTCGTGAAATGTTTTTGCAGCCCTGTTTGTTGCTAACATCTGCGGTCTTTTTCTGATATTCTATTTTTTTTACATAGTGTGATATGGTTTATTTCTAGATGTGGAATGTAAGGCTCAAGTTTTCTAGTTTGGAATTTCACACTCAACACTGTTGAAATAATTTGTTTGTAATGTCTCTGATATTATTTAATTTATTTCACTTTATGCAGTCATAGACATCGTTTAAGACTTACAGGGAAAAAAATAAGCGACAAAAAAGGAACTTTATCAGCTTAAGTGCATTTTGTATTTCTGGCTGTTTGAAGAGTTTCTCAGTTTGAGTGTTTAAAGAGGAGAGAAACGTCTTATGTAACGTTTCTTTGTGGTGGCCTTTGATTCCTACGTTTGTTAGTCTCAACTTCATTCTTGCAGAAATATCAATGGCATCTGCAGTCACTGTCCAAAGCCATGATATTACGAGCGCCCATGTAACAATTTACAGTGGCCTGGTAACATGTCTGATGCCTTTTCTTTTTATGCTTATTTTACGACTGCCAAACCTCTTTTCTTTATAAAGGGTTAATGTAAGACTGTAAATGTACCTTTGCTGCTCGAAGGTGCATCAATATCTTTCTCACACCTGTGATGCTAAGCTGCTGAATTAGGATCATTGGTTCAGTTTCAAGCTTCTGCATTCCGGCAAAAGAAAAAAACCACGGATGTTTTACTTTAAGGTGTTACTCCTGGCTCACAAAGCTCTTTCAGTGCTGCTTGCTACTCCTTCTCAGCTGCCCTCCATCTTCGTCACAATTTAAACACTTAACTCTGCTGATTTATCAGTCGGTCGATTATGAACAGTGCAGTGCGCCGAAGCAGGATGTAGTGTGGAAAGTGAGTGTCGAATTTTTGACTTGTGCACAAAAAGACGAGTGATACTTGAATCATGAGCATAGCAGCATACGTGGCTCCTGGCTTTCAGATCTAAACTCACCGGGCAAGGCTTGTACACCGTTTGCTGTTCTATCATCATGCCTGCCAGAATAAGTCACTTCTAGGCTAATTCAGAAACACCCCTGTTAATTGGTTAGCAAGTGGACATATATTGTTGGATTAGTTAGTTCGACATGAGTGCAATACAGTACTGGAGGCAACAAGAAACAAGAAAAGAATGTTTCAGTGACTTTTCTCGTCTGTTCTTATCTCTAGAGTCGAGTTACCGCTGTGGTTTGAGGCACCCCTTTTGCTGTACGTTTGGGGAAAATGTTCAAGAAGCTTTGAATATCATCCGTGCACCTTTTATTTAGAGATAACTGGAAGGCAGCGATAGTCTGGTGAAAAAAGAAGGGGGGGCTGGATACAAGAATTAAGGTGACAGTCTTTTAGGGACTTCATTTAGCATATCTTGCTCAATTGAACTCAGCTCTTCACCCACAGCTCAATAAAGTTCTTACCAACCAACCCAACCCACAGCTGTGGTCTAAGTGTTATGGTGCTTGAATGCTGACCCAGCGGTCTCTGGATTCAACCTTGCACCCGATTTCAGTGGGAGCGAAATACTGCAGGCCCATTTACTTAGGTTTAGGTGCCTTTTAAAAAATCCCAGGTGGTCGAAATTTTTGTAGCTCTCTGTTGTGACATCTCTATTGTAAATATAGTGTTGTTCTGGGATGTAAAACTACAGCAGTCATGTTATTAATTGAGCCAGTTATGCTCTTGTGTACCGTTCAACATTTCTGATGACGTCTTTTTCTTTCATTGACTATATATATGTTTTTTTGTTTTCCCTGTCATAGGATGTATCAAAAGAGCTGTGTCGCTGCCGGGACCAAGGTGCCACACGCCTGGACCTCAGCAAATCCAGTGTGAGTGTCCAGGTCATCTATCCATGAAATCGGGACAGTTCTGTGAGGCCAGTTTTATTGGTATCGGGTATATAGCCGAGTGTGTTTGTAAGTTCTGCAGGTATGAAAACATTGCTCAAAACTAATATTTGTTCATTTATTTTCTTGCACTCCTCGACACTCTTCAGCATGGTAATAAAGTATATTTTAACTTTTATTGCATCATTATTTTGAGCTATAATGGTGTGATTAAACATTGTTTCAATCATCAGTGGCACTGGCTGTCACATCAAAGTAAAATGAGCAAATACATTAAAAATTTTTTTTTCAAGGAATAAAGTGGGGGGGGGGGTTCATTACACAAGTACATATGGTATGTCGTTATTGGCTGGTAATATTGCCAAGACATTCACGATAGTGAACATCCATAAAACATTCACCGAAGTTTGTGAAGAATATTTTTATGAAAGAAATAAACTATTTTCGCTGCAAAAATATTGAATTATAGGCGTCTAAAAAATTTTTATTCCAAAGTATTTAGTGATCTCTTACATTTAACAAACTTCATTCTTCGTATTTTTATGCTTAGATGTAAAGCTCTGACAACTACTATACGTGGTATTTTCACACTGAAACCATGAAGTGCTATATAAATATTAATACATGCAGTTCCACAATATGTAGTGGCTTCCTTTCTACCACAGATGAGCAGTTCAGCCTAATCATAGTGTGTCACTGAAGCATTCTGGTTAAATAACATGAGCATCTGGTTAAACAACATCAACATTTTCCATCTTTCTCAGTTTTCTGGTCAGGGACAACACTGATTTATCGCTCACTACCAATTACGCTGATGGCAGAGTATAACTAAATGAGCTCTTTAATGTAATCACATTAAAATTGCGCGGCCCCTTTGAGTTCAAATCATCTACAGTCTGTTGCCGTTTGTAACGGTCTGCATTTCTGTGGGAAGGTAGTTTTATTCTCGGAATCTTTTCAGCAAAAGGGAGTGATAGGTATGGTCAGGCAAGAAATAAAGCACTGTTAGTCACTGTGAAGCATGCCTGTGCAATAAACATTCTAGCTCGTGGATTCGCTTATCACAAGTTATCAGCCATGGAGGTTGTATTTCAGTGGGGCTGAAATGCAAGAACACTTGTAAACTTAGATCAGGTCGTGGGTCCTAAAAATGTCTTTTTTTTTTTTTTTTTCAACTTTTGAGTCTATGTAAATTAAGCTTCACTGCCTCGGACACATTAATGAGAACTGACAGACAATTATGCCAAGGAATGTATGGGGATGTTATTGGAAATTGTAATGTAATTGTGAAAAAAGAAAAAGTGGAAGAAACGATAACTTGCCATGGACAGGGACCAAACCTGCGATCTTCGAATACAGTATTCCCTATGCTTTTCTTGACATAATTGTGTGTCAGATCTCATTAGTGTGTCTAACATAAAAAATAAATGAGCCCTTAAATTTACCTTTTCGGACAGTCTTTATGCCAATTTCAAATCTGTAATTGGTTTTTAATAGCTGTGCTGAATTGAAAGATAATGAGGTTAAATATAGCTTACTTCTTACATGGCTTTCTTGCAATTTCAACCTGCTAAAACTAAAATGTTAGTGCATAGCCCGACTGTCCAGATGGTGCTGTAGGGGGGCACGAAATCATGTAGGTGCACCTAAAAAAGAAACACTGGGAGACCCCAGGCGGCCAGACTAGTTCGTATTTTTCCACAACACATTACTTGTAATATTGTCCCAGTTCGGGCACACAAGACTCTGGAAGTTTCATTAAATTCGTTTTCCAACCAGATCACGGTGCTGCCATCGTCAGTGCGTGAGCTTAGCCACCTGGAGGAGTTCTACCTGTACGGCAACAAGTTGGCCACGTTGCCCGACGAGCTGGGCAGCCTGGTCCACTTGGAGACGCTGGCACTCTCCGAGAACTCCCTCACCACGCTGCCGGACACGCTCGCCAACCTGAAGCAGCTGCGCGTGCTCGACGTCAGACACAACAAGCTCAACGAGGTACAGCAAAAGCTTGTTAACTTGAATTTCGTGGAGCGAGAAGAAATAACAAAATCAACAGAATGCCGAATTATCGGAGGCATTAAGAAACCAGTAAACAATTGCCGGTTCAGTTAGTACACTTGGATTTTCTTGATAAATACGTAAATCCTCTACTTCTTTTGTGTGATAGCAGTGCAAAAGACGCAATTTTCGACATCCGGCAATCAAACTGAAACTAAGCTGGTCAGTGCCAGATTCGCATGTGATCAGAACCGTGGTCATTAGCTTATGAAGGTAGCGATGCGGACAGTGTCACATCATTTGGGTTGTCCTTGGGCACCATTTTCACTCGTTAGCATCGTTTCACGCTCGGTGCACTCCAGGAATTGTATGAATTAACTGGCATTGCGGTCGATTGTGATCGAACTAACAAAAGTTTGATGCCACTAAACAATGCTTACAGCGACCGGGACAGGGAACATGCTTGAAGAATCTGATTTTCCTAATTAATGAGTGCCAAATTAATGAGGTTTTACAGTACCTTCAAAGGCTGTACACACAGACAAAAGAAAGAAGCCAGGACAATATTAATTCCAACTAACAACTCAAAAGGTGGACAGCAGCAGAAAAGACTGTGCGCATGAAAACTTATCTGCACATGCCCTGGCGAGAGGCGACACCTATCAATCCCTGAAAAATTGCCCTTTCCTAACAACCGAAAGGGTGATTTTCCATCTGCTTGTATTGATTTCTATTTGGGTCACAGTTAGTACACTGCAGTTGAAACACAATTAGCGTTCCCCCATGCTTTCTCTGGCTCTGCTCTGTTCACTTAGTTGTCTGTAACATGTAAATGAGTGCCCCAGAAAAAACTCCCTTTCTTTCTGAAAGGGAGTTTCTGTTCATTTCTGTTCATTTCTGAAAGTAGTTTCATCAAGCACTGAAACTATAATATACTTGGGAACTACTATGAGCTTGCGCATATTCAGAAAACCAAATCAAATTAGCTGAAATTAAGTGGATACTTTAAACAAGCAAGCAGAGCTCCACACATCAGCACATTGTTCAGGCCGTAAGATGCAGAATAGTTTATAGACAAGATTGCGTTCAAGACCTAACTCCTTGCCTCCAACCATCAGTTCGCTTTAGAAGCTCTTTCTAAAGGTAATTCATGTTTCTTTTGTGAAAAAAAAAATGCTAAAGAACTGCATTTTCCCCCCCTTGTAATATGCCTTTGCATCTATGCCACATTTGTAGGCCTGGGCAAGTGTGTATTGGAGCGCTTCAAGTATTTGAAGAAGTATTAAAGTACTCAAATTTGCTCCAGTACAAATTTCAGGTTTCTAAATCTTGGAAGTTTTTGAAATGAATGAAAGTGCCCAATTTCCAGCTTGTAAGCTGCTTGGAAAGGTGGTTTCACTGCAGTTTGCGAGTGCTGTGCTGTGAAACTGCACCATTTAGGCCAAATTTGCACTGACGCACAGCCACACGTCATTGTTGGGTGTGCAAGTTACCTGTGTGTCGATGAATTTGATATTTGTGCATTTGTGGGCTCACATATTCCAATTGTGGCATATTTCAAGATAATGTGCTTTACTACCTAAAATTTTTGGCGTAGTGAAGTTCAACTCGTGTAACAATTTGAATTTACTTCAAAGATAATAATTATACAATACACTTTGCCTCAAACCAATTAAAAGGCTATTTGTACAATCCTACCTGTAACACAGTTGAGCATTTCAAAGTGCAGGTTGTGTAGAGTTCGCAGCTGATGATACTGCTTCCTATGCACCACATTCGGCATTTGCAGATCCCCGAAGTTGTGTACAAGTTGACATCGTTGACAACATTGTTCCTGCGCTTCAACAGGATACGAGAAGTCAGCGAGAACATAGCCAATTTAACGGTAAGCACTGACAGCAGTTTTCTTTCTCTTTCTTCGTTTTTCTTTTTTCATCTTTTTTTTTCTTTTTAACATTTCAATGTCTAGCATTGTGAAAACTGCAGCTATTGTAGTTAGATCTGGCACAAAGGCCCTTGCTACTAGCATCATGAAGTTTATCAAAGTGTGCAACATTTAAATGCTGTAAGATATAGGGGCTTTCAAACCTTCAAGTTGTGTTTTGTCCTGAAAGTGTTTCCTCTCAAACACATTGCTATGGAACGCCTCTAATACTATGTTCTTCATTTGGACCTTAAAAAAAAAAGCTTGCTAACCAAAAAACATTTTACACAAACCCATGGAAAAGTTCAAGTCATGAAGAAGAGCTGTTTCAAGGGCCAGTCAACAGGCTCCGAAACGTGCAGGAAAAGCTCATGCACTTTTTCTGCGCGTTACCAGCCTCCTTCCACGCCCAGTGACGTCAACTAGGCGATCGGTAAAGTGACGCAGTACACAGCTCGTCGATTGGTCTAAACCAGGTCTCAAGAAAGAGTAATGAAGTCAACGTCGCCGATCACCGAGTTGACGTTACTGCGCGTGGAAGGAGGATGGTCACACGCAGGAAAAGTGCGCAAGCTTTTCTTGCACGTTTCGAAGCCTGTTGACTGGCCCTTTAAATAGTGAGAAAATAGCCACAGTTTTGCCACATAGGAGAAGCAATCAATGGAGCACTAACGAATTGGAATGTCATGCACAGAAAAGCAAGCAGATCGACATGTGCAGCGGGCTGCTAAAGCACAAAGTGACAGCTGTCACAGCTTCACTCTTGGTGTGTGAGCAGCACACTCCTTCCGCAAATGCAGCTGGTAGAGCGAGCAGAGTGACCATCGTGTGCTCTGTAACTGCAACGGTAACTTTGCGGTTAAACCTTAAGATGTGCAACCCCCCCCCCTCCTCCTCCTCCAATAATTTCACCGCAGCTGCATTGGCTTCCATTTTCACAGCAGTTGTGAACGGCTCCGCATATTTGTGTTGTTTCTCATTTCTGTTTATGCGCACTCGCACGAAGTTCGTATGTACTCAAGAATACTTACCAAGCGCACAAGGGGGTTCTCATTGAGTTAGGTATGCCCAGCAGCTTGTGTAGCTCCGTATCAATGCATTCGTACCAACATGCCCACCTCTAAGCCTCTTTGGAAGTGCTTAATTCAATCCTTTTATGTGTACTTAATTCTACGCCTAAGAATGAGCATGTATTGCCTAGAGCAAATCGAGTTATCCTTTGAAGTGTGCATACCAGCATTCGCTACAAAGTTACTTTTCATTATGTGAAGGCACATTGTCGTTAATAATTGAAGCCATTAACATGTTTGTAAGCACTGCAACGATTTTTCATGTTGTGTCTTGCACAGATAGTCTTGGATCCTGTTGGCCATCTTCGTTATATTTAATCCCTGTGTCACATGGTTGTGACGACAAATAAAGCACTAGCAGCTGGTGCATCTAACCCCGCTACAACGAACGTTGCTTCAATGAAATTTTCGCTACAACAAAAAATTCACGGTTCCCCATCAGCAGTCCATAGGAGTCAATGCAAAAATATTGTTGCCACAACGAACGCTTTTCCTTCTGCCGTCCCGCTTCAACGAAATTTCACGATGCGATTCCAGGCTCAGATATTTATTGCTATACAGTAAACTTAATCTTTAACATTTCGATGCATTTTCAGAACCTGGAAATACGTCAACAAAGTCTAAAACACACGTTGGCACTACCAGAAACCGCCACTGTTCAGCAAGCATGGGCGCCGCCATTGCTCAATAGCGATGGCAATGAGACTGCCCTGCTTTTGCCACTGGCTTGCTTTTGAGCCCCAGACGATCTGAAGCTGAAGCTCAGTCCCTCAGTTCATGGTTTCCCTTGCGCAGCTGCTGGGGGCAATCACGGAATGATGCCTTTTCTGATTCCAATGTTTATCGTTTTACTCGCGCTTGGCTAGTGTGGTACAAAATCAGGGTGGCTGTTTGTCCGCATTATCAAAAAAATCAGCTAGCTGCGAGTAATGAACGATAAGAATGGCATAGAATAAGGGAAAAGTCACTGCTCCATGATATTGTGACTCCATCTCGGCGTTGTCAGATACACTTTGATGGTGGACAGTGGCTGGTGTTAACGTGTCAATCTAACTGTTATGTACGCTCACAAAAGCAATTGTAGACGTTGTTTCAGCGTGCTTTTCACCATGGCCTTGCTACGCATGGGTGAGAATCACATCGTGAGCGGACATTTTTTTTTTATTTTGAGAATAAGCATTACTTTGTTTTCAGCTATAATTTTTCGATTTCACTACAACGAAATTTTTGCTTCAGCGAAACAGCGAAATATTTTCCGCGCCCTGTGAGTTTCGTTGTACCGGGGTTCGACTGTAAAGCTTTAGTTGGCCGAATTTGTGCCCGGAGAAAGTATGTCACTCGAAGTACAATGATATAGGTGCACACTGTCGTCAGTTTTCAAATGATCTGCTCAGCCCTAAGGCTCATTGGAAGTTATACATGTGGCATCGAAGACTCTGGGCTTATTGTTGGCAGCCGAGTTAGTTCCAGAACAAATTTTACTGTTTGTGTCGCGCATTCAAGCTTATTGCAATGATTTTAAACAATCAGAAATGATTCGCACTCTGTTACGGTGCACGCAAACAGTGGTTACATTGCAACGAGTTCACCTGGTCGCATGAAAAAAAAAAAAAACAAGAAAAGAAGCGTGTGTGGTGTAAAGCTCACCGACATTTCTATCTTCAAATCTCTTCAAACCGAAGTGAGGTACGGGTTAGCCAGCCTTTACTGACTGCGACTGTATGTGGCTTTGATTATGCTGTGGCCATAATCTGTTGAAGTTTGGCAGGGTCATATGGTCATGTGGTGGCAACACCGGAGAAACTGTCCAAGTGATTTAGCTGCCTAAATGATTTTAACTCTCGCAGGGCAAATCTGTGGCCAGCAAAATTAGCAACCCCCAGGCACCGCGGTAGTGGGGAGCACAGTCTTCCCGCTATCAAAGATATTGCCTGTGGGTGAAACGCAGTCGCCGTTTGGTTATATGCTAGTCATCATATGTTCCAACGCAATCACTGGTGCTTGCGGGAATTCCAAAAAAATGCCTGTTAGCTTGCATTCAGCGTACTACAGGTTGACATTGATATGAAAAATTATTGCTTTTAGTTCAGTAACCAGAGAGTAGTCTTGCCATTAAGACAGTGCCACGAATATGCATATAAAACAAATTTTTGTGCACTATAACCAAGCCCATTTTGGGAACAAAGCATGGAAAATTTATCAAGGGCTCGTTTTCTTTGCTATGTTCAACCTAGGGAAACCACTTTAGCTCAGTTGGTAGAGCATTGGACGCATTACCCGAAGGTTGCAAGCTCGGTGCCTACCAGGGGCTAGGATCCACTTTAATTTCTTTACACTCACGTCATGTTTGCTACATTACAGCGAGCCCTCCTAGTGTCAAATTTTTCCGAAAAAAACTTTTGGCTGATGGTCAAATGACTTTATTGCGGTTTTTTAATGCACGAGATGTGTACTCAGGCAAAAAATTATTTTACAAAATTCACAAACAATATTTTGGTGGCGATGTCACTCAGCATTGCTTAATGTTCAATTGTATTTCAGTGCGTGGTATTGCTTGAAACATGGGTCTTTGCAACAGTGTCTTATAGCTGTCTGTTCTTCTCTTGCATGGGCGAGTTGTGTTGGCGCCACACATAACATCTTCTTTGCACACGGCTGCCTTGGGCATAGCAAGCTCGATAATTATTTAGTGGAATGAGAATACCTCGTGTGTGTCAGTGATAAACGAGCTAAGAGCAGTGCAAACAAAGGTGGAAATCAACTTCCACTGCCGTTGCTAGGAAGGTGCGGGTCAAGCTTCGCGTGCCTCCTTTGCGATCGCGTGGGCGGCACCGAAACCACGAAAAGGCGCCGCCTATTACCGCTGACCGTGCAATGTGCTGCCGCTAGAAATCAGTTCTATTTATCTTCACACAAAGGTAGCACAACCATTTCCAGTGTTTTTATAAGCTATAGGAGGTGGCAGTATGTCTGACTGAACATGCATAGTCATTACAATGCAAATTTCAAGCGGAGGTTTGAAAAAGTACCTGCATGGCTAAGACACTGTGAGACAGAATGGCCATCGTATGGCAGAAATGCTTCCAAGTGTCAAGCTAACGAATAATGGCCCAGTGCTTGCCTTGGGTTTATCATCTGTAGGTCTCACTAGGCTGTCTGTTTGTCTCGTTAGGTCGAACATGACTTCATTACAGTAAAAATTGACCGTACCTGAAGATTTGAAAACTTTTGAATGCACAAGCTGCACAACATTCGCCAGTGGCGGGAAAATGTCTACGGAGAGATTGTGAACAACAAGCCTCACTGCCTTTACATTGCCGTGCTGTGTGCCATCTGTAAAAATGTGATTGGTTGTTCAGTGGGCCAATTGTTTTCCTGTGCGCAGAATTTGACGATGCTGAGCCTGCGGGAGAACAAGATCCGGGAGCTTCCAGCGGGCATAGGCAAGCTGACACAGCTGGTCACCTTCGACGCTTCCAACAACCACCTCAAGCACCTGCCTGCGGGTGAGGGGGCTGCGTCGAATGACACCAAATTTTCGATCATGATATGTGTTGTATATTCAAACAAGCAGGCAAAGTTTCAGTGCATTTTTTCATTTACAGTAGGTTATTTTTGGCACACTTGCAAGTTATGACGCAAACAAGCTGCTTGCTGTGCGAGTGTCTGCGTTCCGGCAAATGATCTTGTTCCGTGATCAGCTGAGCATGCAGTTGAGCTCGGCTTTCCTCAGCTTGGCATTGGAATTGAACGGTTTGCATTGGCTGAAGTTTTGATGCTTAGAGACGACAAATTTGCCCCTTGCAGCACAAGGTGCCATGTATGCCGTGGCTGGCAATGTGCAAGATTTGTAGCGAGCGACTTCTAGAGCTCATTTTGCGCTGAGATATTCTTTTGCATTCATTTCTCATATATGCATAGGCACAGTAAACTCTGTACTCCTATTTTACCATAATAACAGTAAATTGTCGGGTGCACGAGCATACAGTTTGCCTATTTAAGTACAGAGAAAGGGAAACTTCTTTTAATGATACGGTCTACGCTCATTATAGCAGACCCACATACAGCAGCCTTTCAGATACAACAGACCATTATTCAGCCCAACTTGGACCTGCGTATTAAAATAATAGACTGAGGTTTGCTTTTAATGAACCGCAATACAAGAGACTATTGTCTGCAGTCGATAAAATAAGTGGCATTTTTTGTTATCATTATTTTATTTTATTCAAAAGCAGACGCATAAAGCATTCTTTTGCTGTGTTGACTTGGACTGGCAACAGGCGGGACCATGCTGCTCTTTGTGCAATGAAACGTGATAATCTTGAATTGCTGGCTTCCAGCCAAGCCCATTTGAGGGCACTTTGGTCACGAGTGTTGCAGCTGGCTGAAATGCAGCACAAAGCGATTGCATCATCGTTCAAGGGTGCTCCCTATTTCTTTATCACAGATTTTTGTTTGAGCTACATGTAAATAATAAGTTGAGGTTGTGTTTTGCATTGGATGTTCATCACTTATTGCATCAACATTGTGGGGCATTATAGTCAAAGTATTGAAAGTAAGATATTTCGGTGCTCCAAGCAAGTCAGTTTCACTCTCAAATTGTATAAATTTTTATATTTAAAAAAAAAACATATTTTAAGAGGATTTGACAACTGTTCAGTTTACATGATAATTCACTATTTGTGGGTTTGATATGTGTTGGTTTGACAATATACGTACTGGTAGAAAACACTTGCACAACCATTTATGCAACATATATTTTATTACAACTTGTACCGAATTTCTATCTTGCTGTTTGTCCCAGCAGTTGTATCTAACCTTTGATATACTTCCTGTGGGCCTGCAGTATTTTTTGGGTGGATGAAGTAACTCATCCTTCATGCTCTGGTGTTCTGAACATGATTATTCCAAACAGTGCAGAAACAGGATACAGAAAAAACCACACAACACAGGTGATGACTTCCAATGGGGATTTATCTGTGTGTCTGTCTGCAAATCCTTGTTGGAAGTCGGCTTCTGTGTTGTGTGGTCGCTTCTGCGTCCCGTATCTGCACTGTTTGCAACAAGTGTATGTATCGACAAGGCCGCCTAAACAGGATTTTGATGTTCTGAATGATCTTGTGCAGAGATTGGGAACTGCGTGCAGCTGTCGACGCTCGATGTCCAGCACAATGAGCTTGTGGACCTGCCCGACACGATAGGCAACCTTATGGTGCTTTCCCGGTTCGGCATCAGGTCAGTCTCTCTCTCCTCCCTGCTTGCTTACTGCCACCTATTCACTACTATCATAACATTCACTCCATTATCATTTCACTGCAGTGTACTGTCGGCTTAAGAAGTTTAGAGGTGATTTTACTATTGTGGCGAACAGTTAAACAAGACAGAAGAGAGAAGATTGACACAGTGCTTACTTTTGACATTTGATTAATTTCTGAAATTATCGCACCAATGAATAGGCTGGAAAGCAGCTCACACAGGTCCTTTTGTGGACAATAAGATGTGAACACAGCAAGGACTTACTAACACATGTACATCTCGTGTTCTATATTATTTACAGTGGGTTCTAAATAACTTGACCATTTGCAAGGAGGGTGCAAAAGTGGCGTGGCGCTTGCTCCCCTCAGGCCACACCAGCACTTGCCCACCCTACCCCAGCTACACCAGTTCTGTACCCCTATCGCAACAGCTACAATGCAGCACGGCTTTGCATTCCCCAAGACAAAATCATGCCAACACTCATGCCTGAACACATGTCATCGCCGTTGAGACCACTAGGTCTGCAATAACCTGACATCAGCATTTTGTGGCTTTATTCAGTCTAAATGCTGTTAGCACGTTTTTAGAAGCTCCAAATCCGCATTCAAGACTCCCTGGTGGAGCGGTGGGAATATTGGGCTTTTTCTTTATGCCTCAGAGTCCTTAACATCTGGCACCTACTGGTATGTATCGCGTTAAGTATTCATGCAAGAATGCCTGCAAACCTTAAGCCATGTTTTCATAAAACATGTATTCAGTAGACTCTAATGAAAAGGAACATGAAGGAAACAGGGAAATTCCGATTAATAGGAGTTCTGTTTACTGAGAATGAACAGGGGCGCAGAATTGAAGCATGAGACAAATCATATTATTATGTTTTTTCAGGAAGCACTTTCATTTAAAGTGATTTTTATTTACCAGGAGTGTACAGTACGCTGCATTTTTAGCCCTGACAGTGCCCACTGTTCCATATTTGCTCTGCTGAATATGATGCTTCCAAATACTGCTTGAAGTTAGTACACAGAGAGGCCATTCCTATGGTATGAAGTTTCACCGATAGATACAAACAGAATACTATTCACTAGTTAAATAATTATCATACGAACTGTGTTTTAATAGAAATAACATTTAGCTTATGTTTTGCTTCAAATGTAGTCTCCATGGCCCAGGTAAAAAAGAATGAGAAAGACATGAATGCATTCTGGATGTTTTTTGTGTGTGTGAGTTGGGGGAAGGGAAACCAAGACAGAACTGTGTGTGGATGTTACAGAAAACACTTGTACTATAGTCAAATCTATAAAGAAATATTTCATTGGTAGCTTCTTTATTCAAATCATTACAGTGAGGCTGGGCTTATCTGTGTAAGGAATGTCACGGCCACAAAACTCGTGCAATAGTGAACCACACCTAGCATTCAAAGCCAATTTAGGGACTGTTCATACATTAGCAGCAGATTTTCGTTGTTAAATTTATTAGCTACCACAGGAGGAGCTTTATTATGCTTGTAATAGATGAAAGCATTTTTAGATTTAGACTGCCTGATGAAATGGCTTCATTAAACAGGAGGAAAGTACTGCAGTTCTCATTGCAGCTAAGGTCACAAAATGACAATAATTTGATTTCTACGTGATTTCTTCCGCTGACCCGGAAGAAATCACGGTAGGCTCAGCCACAATGTCTCATGCGTCCAAGCGGAGCCAAGCCAGGGAGTCCGATCATAACAGGACTTTTACGTACTTATGAACATGCAGTTGTGCCTAGGAGGAGCTTTTGTTGAACGATTCAAGCTGTTCTGTTTTCATGAGAATACTAATGAACTATCATCATTGCTGCTGGCAGGAATTTGTTTTACGGGTGCTAAGTGGTGTTGCATCCCCACAGGGTGTAGTGCTGGTGTCACTTATGGGGAACCAAGTGCAGCTTGTGCACCCCACTGCCGAAACCTATGGTCGCCATGTTTTAAAACTGAATCTTTACTTCCATTAGCCCACCAGGTGTTGCAAGTTGCTTGCCTTTGTTGCGCATTCACACCCAAGTAAAAGTGCTGCCATGATATGTGTGTGTGTAACGCTGGAGCCCAATGTGATCACTTGCCTTGGCTGAACTGCAGGTATAATCAGCTGACAGCCGTGCCAAAGTCCCTGAGCAATTGTGTTCTCATCACGGACTTCAACGTCGAGAGCAACTTGGTCTCCCAACTACCCGTCAGTACCGCTCTTTTGTCTTTTTCTTGCTTTTTTCTTGATACACTCAGATATTGTTACACTCAAACCTCGATATAATCAACCCGGATATAGCGAAACATAGGTTATAATGAAGTAAATCAAAAATAGTCTTGCGATAAATACAGCGTTGCCCCGCCTCAGTGGTCTAGCAGCTAAGGTACTCGGCTGCTGACCCACAGATCGAGGAATTGAGTCTTGGCTGCGGCGGCTGCATTTCCGATGGAGCCGAAAATACTGTAGGCCCATGTGCTCAGATTTGGGTGCAGGTTAAGGGGGGATGCTACACCTTCCAAAAACTCTTTTATTTTTGCGAGTACCTCAGTCAAATTTGGAGAGCCTATGTAGATTTTACTGCTGATTTCAAAAATCTAATTCTTTTTTTGCTGTGACAATTAGTTTTAAAGATATAATGAACTGCGACTTTTTCAATTAAGGCCTAATTAGCTAATTAACTGTAACTTGGATATTGATGTGCAACCTATAGAACCAATTCGGTATGTTCACAGTGTGCAATAAAGTATAAATCATTGTTCTGGGCTATTTCGAAGCAAAGTTGTGGGATGTTGAATATGACATGAAAAATTTCCCCATCTACACTTGAAACAAAAGATCCATTTAGAGAATTTTTTCCAAAAATTATTACAATAAAACTTACTTTACGACACATCCCCTGCATTTATCTTCGAAACAAAAAAGAAATTGTAATGATAACCCAGATAGAACAAGAGATATTGCTCCGGCATAATGGGAAGCACATGAAAATTGTCGTTTTGAGAAATCGAGAAAAAACGTGGGCACACATTTTTATTGCAGAAGATGCAACAAGACAACCTCAAAACGCACCAGAAGCATAGTCTGAATGCATTCTGTGCTCATGCCTCCTCTTCACTAGCTTCCGGAGTTCCAATGAGGCTGTTCTTTTCTTGTTGGAGACAATGCTGCGACGGTGGTCTTTTTCTCTCGCTCTCCTGGCACCAGTACTTGTCGCATTCATGTCCATTTCACCTAAGATTGCCGTTGCAGAATTCAAATTGCCCGTGTTGAAGCGCAGCACTGCTTCTGCAACAGCTGCTTCAACAGCGAACAGGGACGCATGGTGCTCCTTGGGGGCCAAACTCCAGATTACCGAATGTAGGCTCTCGTTGGAGTTCTGCGTTTTGCCGCGTTCGCACCTCTGAAGCAGGGCTCTTTCCGAAAGCCGGGTATAAACCGGTAGTAATGCCTCTGCCACGTCTTTCGGTAGATTGTAGGCATGCCTGGGGTCGGGCTCACCCTTTGCTTTTGCGGCATTGTGCCGACACCATGAAGTTTCACCAGCTGGGCACAGACTGTGGTCCGAGCATTCATCAGTGGAGGTGACGTGGCGGTATGTGGCCATCACAGCCTTTTGCATCTCGCCCACGTCACCTTCATGCGATTTCAGAGCCCGGCCATAATATGTGCTCAGCCTGGTGATCAGCTCACCTGTGAGCCTGCTTTTCCCACCAAGGCCTCTTTTCCCATCGCACTTTTGTTTCTGCACCAGGTTTCTCAATGCGGTGCCCATCCGTTTCTGTACATGATTAATACAGTCTTCCTTCTGCACGTCAATGTAACCATACACCTTGGCGTCTTGTATGGCGCAAAATGTCCTAGAGTCTCCATCAGACAGCATAGTTGTGTAGCGCAGGCCATGGCGTTCAAGCGACCTCTGAAATAGAATTAGAGCCGCCTCCACTTCCATTTGCCCCGCTTTGCTGTTCGTATTTTTTTGGCATTTGTGGTTAGCCTTCCATTCTTGATAGCCCTCACTACTAGGCTTTGGGCCCACCTCGCAGCCTAGGCAAAAGTTGGAAAGAACGACGTAGTCCAACACGTAGCCACTAAATAATTCGATAACTGTGCCCACGCCGACGTGGGAAGAATGGCCTCGCGTCTTCCACGTGCCGTCGTAGCTAACGGCAATATTGCCTCGGTGGCCGAAGCACAAGTCACCATAAATTGTTCTAACCTTTTCCGCACATTCGCTCATAGCGGACTCAGCCGCTCGCGTTGCAGCGGGTGCCAGCGTGTTCTTCAAATGCCGCTGAAACGTCTTGTGGTGCATACCGCGGTGTGAGATGCCCATTGTTGCGAAAATATCGTTCATTTTCGTTTGGCCGTTGCCGGTAGCCACCATCGCCCTCGAAGCGAGAAGATTTACTTCAAACGGATTGCACGTTTTCGTGCCGGTCGCGCGGGGCGAAGTCCATTCATTCGCGATCTCGCCGCACCTTTCACACTGCACTAGCACTTTCACGGCAAGTCCGTAGTCCCGATCCCCTCTGACGATCGTAGCCGGTCCGTGACAGGCTTTGCAACACAAGGCACCCATTATCGCGTTCAGGATATCTAGATGCATAAGCAGATAAGGAGCAGCGTGGTCCGAGTCCTGTGCGGTTGCCTCGCTACAACTCGCGGTGAAAAAGTCAATTTTCCGTGCAGTTGCTGGCGCCGATGAAAGCCGGTCGAGCGTCGCTTTCTCCCGGGCATGATTTTCTTCAACTTCGGCGTTTGTCACCACCTTGGTGTCGATTCGTAGTCGTCCGGAGTTCGCTTCACCGTCATCGTTGTCGGAGGCAACGCGCTCGGTCGCACCATCGCTGAACGGCCGCGGAGCGTCGACACATCGTTCGTCGGAATCAACCAAGGGCTCTGATGACTTCGTAGACTTTCTCCCACGACCTTTGCGTTTCCTGCGACCAAATGCGTGCACGGTCCGATACTTTTTTGCGTTTCCAGGCATGGTGATACGATCAGAAGCTTCAGAGTGCTCTGCCGATTTCGAGGCATCACAGCGGTAACCCTTTCAAAATGGCGTCGGGTCGCGTATGCAGGCGCAAGCCGCGAGCTTCCAGCCAACCGGAAAGCGCCATTTCAGTCACGTGCACCGTTTAGCCAATGGCAGTGAGCGCGGCTCTTCGTCTTTGAGGCCCCGTTTTTCGAGCCGGGGAAACGCTCAATGTTGCTTACTGAATTAAAAAAAACAGCTGAAAACGCGTTCTTTCAAACAAGACCAAAATGGCGCCGATCGAGCGCGTAGTTCCCGCGTATCGTAGAGCCGAAACCTGCGCTATTCGCCCTCAATTTAAAGGGCAGGACGCCCGTTTTCGGTGTTTTAAAGTTGAATAACGATAAAAGTTGATGGTATTCGGCTATGAAATTTTGTAAATAGGTGCGCAATGATGTCGGGAACGCGAAAAGAAGGTCCGCGAAAACTCGATTTTTCGGCTGATTTTCGGTCCCGAAGTGCCACGTCCCCCCTTAAAGAACCCCAGGTGGTCGAAATAATGTTTCATACCATAAAGATGAAGTAGTTTGCTGGTTTTGTTTTTCTTCTTTTTTGACAATATGAGATGCGTCGTTTTTCTCACTGAAAAAAAAAAAAATGGACTGATAATTTTATGTATGTTGTGTTCCTGAAGGTCATTTTGATGTGCATTTTCTACTTATGACTCGTAAACCATGGATGCTTGTTTAAATCACCCAGGGATGAATGTCTGCATAGCCTAAACAGTTCAGTGTCAAAACTTCCAGTCACCGTCACATGCAAGGGGATCATCACATGACCCTAGCAGAAACGTCACGTCGGACGTCGTTGGTTGAGCAGCACATAGCTGTGAACTCTGGTTCTGAGAGTACTGAGGCTGTCAAAATACTGAGAACTACAAAACAGCGTGGTGTAGGTCACTGCTGTCACCACTTGACAATGGCCAGCATTGATAGTGACACTTGGCCAACCAGTGACATTGGCAAAGCGTAACACTTATGCAGCACCAGGCAAAACCGTGCTTTTCACTAGAATTTTACAAATATCGGGTGACGTAAGTGACGTTCATGTTTGGGTCAGTTGACCCTCCCACATGTGACGAAAACCGCAAGTTTCGCTGCCGTGTTGTTCAGGATACGAAAGACACATGTCAGGAATTTATTGTGGCCACTTTTATCAAGGTTTAATTGAGCACTGCTAGCGCTGTTGCCTTTGCTTGATTTAAGTAGAAAAGTAAGTGTCTTCACCAATGAACTCACGTTTCGTTTCTTTTTTTTTTCTTTTGTATTTGCCTCTTGCAGGAAGGACTTCTAGCGAGCTTCACGAATCTGCACACCCTCACCCTGTCACGAAACAATTTTGCATCGTACCCCTCAGGGGGTCCGGCCCAGTTCACTACAGTCACCGTAAGTTGGGGAGGTTGCTAGCTGTATTGATACCCTTATTTATTATTTTTTTGGCATCATTTTTGGTGCCACATGAAGCCAGACAGGCAAAAAAGCCACACTCACCGTCAGTGCAGCAAGTGGCACTGACCGACGCTCCCATATTTGAATGCACATGTATACCCTATAAAGTGGACGGGGGGTTTACCGCCACTGTATTTCAGTAGTAGAGATTCGGACCCGTTATCTAAAGGTTGAAGGCTTGGTTGGATCCTGTAGGTGGCAAGGCATCCTTTCTTCCACTTTTCTTTCTACTCATTTACATTACAATTACTTCTAACAACATCACCTGTACTTTTCTTGGAATCATTGTCTGTTACTTCTCCTTAATATTGTGTCTGACAGATAAAAAGCACGCTTAAATTTACACTTTGCTGTGTCGTAGAAGCCTATTTACTTTTGAGTAGATTTTTATACAACTTTCACAGTTTACACATATTTATGGGTTGATTTACAATATGCCATCACTATTCTGGTACAGCATGCAATTTTCGCACTATAGGGCAGTATAAGATCACTTGTAGTGAAGGGCGACGTACTAGTCGCAGAATACCCACACTATGAGCTGTACCACACTGGAACCAAAACACCGTCTCACACCGTGCCTGCTTTTCACTGCTGCCCCCTCCCCCGCCCTCCTCTTCTGCCTTTTTTTTTTTTTGTCTCCTCCCGTGCTCTATTCATTCAGTCAGTGTGCCCTCCTCATTCCTAAATTCATCCTTCCTCTCTCCCCGATTGGTGCATTTCTGCATAAAAAACACTCGCTCCCTTGCTTCTCATACTAATTTTTTGGCAGCCACATTATAGTCTGTCTTTCATATAGGGCAACTGCACAATAAGCAGCATGCGTGCACGAAAAGTTGTATGGGAGGTTAAACTGGGACTTGGAAAAACAATGCATTACAGCCAGTCCTGCACATTAAGCGGCTATAAACGCTCTGAGCCGTACCAGAATGAAAATTATCCTTGAAGTGCTTCTTCTGAGATCTCACTCTCTCGATGCAAAGCATTCAGCCTGCCCAGAGAATTTATAATTAACTCATGAAGATATATAAAAACCATGTTTTTATCATTACATTAACTTGACGCTTTCTTGGTATGCAATTAAGAGACCATTACAGACTTCCTTTTTTCTTTTATTCCAAAATGTAAACATAAAGAAATTTTTTTCAGACAAATGAAGCTGAAACAAAAACAAAAAACATTAGATTCTGACACCCTGCGCTTTTCGGAATGGCATGCCCTTAATTTTAGTAGCTGAATGGTTACCTCAAGTTGCTTCGTGTTATCCCTTCATGCAGTCTAGCGTTAGTGCCAAATCTCTTTTCTAGTACCACGCCTAGTACTGTGAGCCACCTTCATCTGGGCATCCCAGTATTGTTTGAAGCCATAGAGTTTTCATACAATAATACCAAAAGCGGAATCAGGCGCTAGTGTCTACGCGGGCTCCTTCAGTGGCATAACCCCCATGGGAATTATGAGAAGTACAGGCTTCGGGTCCACTTTGGATGGATTACGTTCTTGAGATTCGCGTCGCTTTTTCTTTTTCGAGTGTAAAACAAAGTGATGTGAACTCAAATTTAATTAAAACTTGCTTCAATTATTTGTGTGCAGCAAACTTTATTGCAGAAAGTTTTTGCGATCAGGTGGCTAAAGTGAAACCTGGGCAAATTCAATCATCAAGGTTTGCATCGCTGTGCCATTGCGTTCCAGATTTGGCATCAAGATTTAATTAATTATGTTTTACAACACTTCAAAAGAAACACGCTTGTTTTTCTTTGAAAAGTATGTATTATCTATTTATGGAAATAACACTACAGTATTAACTGTGAAACACTTATCATTTCGTCTTCTGCAACACTAGGTGCGTCTGTCCCAGTGGTCTGCCCTCAACACACCTCTGGTTTTGAAGTCGAGTCAGCGAAGCGTGACGGTGCATCTACTTTGTTTCGTCATCGCTTTTCAGTCGATTTAAAACGAACTTAGGCAAGACGCGCTCGTGAAGAACATGAACTCGAGACAATCTCCTGCCTTGGCATGAGATGCTACATCTCTGTGCAGCGGTGAGTGGACGACGCTTCGTTTAAACTGTCAAATACGACTTGTAAAGCTCCAGGGTCGCAGCAAATCAGGACATCTAGTGGTCGTCAGCCTATTAGAACGACAAAGGCACTGCTTCAGCCTTTTTCACTGCACTCCACTATCTGCCCTGCGCGAAGAACGAAACTGAAACTGTAGAAAAAAGTCCGTAGACTGTTCGCTAGCTAACCCTATCCAATCCGAAGCCTGTACTTCCCATAATTCCCATGGGGGTACACGATTGCAGCGCCAGATTCCTCTCTAGTTATTATTGTATGAAACTCTATAGCTTGAAGGAGATGATTTCTGGAATGTGGATTTCTTGTGATCCCCTCTCTGTTTTCAGTCCATCAACATGGAGCACAACCAGATAAATAAGATCCCCTTTGGGATCTTCTCGCGCGCCAAGCACCTGTCCAAGCTCAACATGAAGGAGAACCAGCTCACGTCGCTACCCCTTGGTGAGTCCGAGCTTGACACGTATACAGACGTCTGACCTGGGAGTCATGCTTTTGTGGGCAGTGCAGTGCCATTGGCACGAAGCTACCCTAATTTCTGTATTTTGTATCGCATAGCAGTTGTAAATTACGCGCAGAGTTAGAAATTCGAAGCATTTCTCTGCAAACCTGAAGCACTCTGAGCGTTTCTATCTGCCTATCTGGCCGCCTTTGTCTGGGCGCTCTCGTTTTCATCTCATTAAACACTGCTGCTACACTTTTTCAAAGAGCCATGGAATGAATTCAGTAAAGGAGCTTATTGCCTCATGTATTCACCAACGCAAAAGTTTTTAAAATCCGTCCAGTACAAGCGAAGTTACGAAGTTTGTTGCACGGTGCAATCACATTCTCTCTTCCCTAGTTCCCTAGTCCCGACGAAAGTGCTGGAAGCTAAACAGGAAGGGATGGCTCTGGGATACAAAATACGTCACTTGCACTTCTTAACCTCGAGCTTTTTTTTTCTCTCTCTCTCTTTTTCCTTCGCATACATGAGTTTTCAGTGCGAGCACATGCGCACGCATGGACAAGTCGCTGTCTCCCGTGGCGGGCCCGGTAACGACCAAGTGTACAATGCTCAAATCAGCCAATGGCTGATGCAATAGCTGTGACGAGTTATTTTTGAGCTTATTCATTCAATGGTCGAGAGAAGAGAAAGCAATTTGTAGCTGACTTTTAGAATTGATTATGAATTCCAGACCACATGCTGCGCTAAAATATTTGCCTAACATGTTCTCAGGAGCCTCAACTACCGATCGGCAGCATTTGCTAACCATGCTGAAAAAGTGTTGCAGGGCCCCTTTAATTTGACACATACCAAAGTATGCATGGGAGGGCATTAGTGCATGACCAACATGAGTAGCAGGTCATTACATCAATTGCATGAGGTACTTGATGCATACGTTGTGAGACCCCTTACTTCTTTCATGTGTGGCACATACCAACACGCCCCACACCATGGAATGCGGGTATGAGCCACAGGTAATTGACAGTTCGTATAAAACCAGGAAAGCCCATGCGAGAACTTAAGCGATTGCATTATGGAGCTTGTGAGGCAGAAAATGCAAGGCAGGCATTGGCACTGTGCTAGGTGAAGAAAAAAACTGGAGGAACAAAAAGATGACATCTAGAGCCGGAATCAAACCCAGGCATTCTGCATGGCACTCAAGTAGTATTTCACCACAGAGCTACGCCAGTGCTCATCACGGAATATGAGAAAAGCCTTATAATGGCGTCATACCACACCAACATCAACTATATAGATGCCGTGTTCAGTGTCTGCTTTTATAACAATCTAATTAATAAGCATTACATATTATCTCCTATGGTTCGCCAGGCTATGGCCAACCATTGCACATCCTGTGGGCAATCTAGTGAAAACGACTTCTTATGATGTGCACATAATCGCACCATAGAGTGCATATATAAAACTCTGCTCTAATGTGAGTACAGTAGACTCCCTTTAAAATAAACTTCAAGGGACCTCGATTTTGTCGGAGTTTGTCTTATCAGAAGTGCCCCCAAAAACCAAATGCTAACATGCCAAGCACACCTAAATATGTTGCTTGAAAACACTGAGTGAAGTATGCTTACGATGGGGAGGGAAGGAACAAGAAAAAGCATTTATTTGGTTCAGCTTGATAAAAACTATGCTTCCAAGTATTTGGACTAATCTAGCGAGTGCTCGATTTCAAGATTTAATAATAAATATGCTCATGAATAAATTTCCACTACATTTTAACAATAAAACTGTAGCACGACCCTTTCTTCACCTACAGGCTAGGGGTGAGGGAGATACCAGCTTTATGCGCTGACTTTTCTTTTCTACTTATCTTGCTTTCTTTATCCACGTCACAATTAGCTTTCGATATGCTTTGAGCTTTGGTGCCAGAAGTCCTCTCTCTCCTTTTTTTTTTTTTTTTTCATTTTGCTTTCTCAGCTTGCCATCGAGACTATAATGTTCGTTTAGCAGAATCTTCGTCGTTGTTGTTCGCTGTGAGAGTTCGTCTGAACAGATGAGTTGTGTTACGCGGTGGTTTGTCAGCAGATTTTTTTTTTGCATTGAGTCTATGGGCAACCAAACAAACACTCCCATGTTGTTTGCTTAAGCAAGAGTTCGTCTTAACAGAGTTCGTCTTAAAGGGAGTGCACTGTACTGTCATTACATTGGACCATAGGATACCCCTTTTCCATCAATCTAGTCAACGTGCCTAATAAAGCCACAATCAGTCTCATGGCCAGGTGGGTGGAGGGAGTCCTTGGAACCCCCCTCCATGTTGTACCTTCTTCAGATAGGCACTTTCCTGAAAATACGTGCCATCCTCATACAGTCCAAGACCTTCTGCAAGGGTCTCCACACCTTCCAGAAAGAATCTCTCTCCGAGCTTGCCCGTTGTATACCCATAACTTCTCAAATAGTACAAAGAAGTCAGTTGAACTCTGAACGCTCAAATCAATAAAACAAATGCAGTAGAGGCCATTACTCGCCTACTGCTTGGCATGGCGTTGACTCCCCGAATGATTGTGGTCTGCCAAATTTTGTGAATACGGCGATCATCGCCCATGAAATCTCTGTACTCGTACCAAAAGTCGCGATTCGTGCAGACCTGGGCACGTGGACGACCATGGTTGAGCTGAACCTGGGCACGAACCAGCTGAGCAAGATCCCCGACGACATCCAGTACCTGGTGTGCCTGGAAGTGCTCACACTGAGCAACAACCTGCTCCGACGCCTGCCCAGCACCATCGGGAACCTGGCTGCACTGCGTGTGCTCGACCTCGAGGAGAACCGCCTCGACAGCCTGCCTAACGAGATCGGTGAGTTTTGGGCCACTAGAGGGAAATTTGAGGGTGCTATTTTGAAGCTGTCCGTTTAGTGGACTGTTGTCCAGTGGACATTGCATCCGCTGCTGATTGGCCATAGCATGCCTGCCAAGTGCCCTCGATTGTTCGCGTGAGACTCCCAGATTTTAGCTTTTCCTTACGTTTGTACGATTAGGAGGAAAATCTTTTTAATACATAACCTGCATTGACGTCACTGTGGTCGCTATGTTTAGGTACCAGCTGGTTGAGATGCTGCGTGAACTCTTGCGCGACCGCGTGGAGCAAGAAACAGTGGCATCAGGTTAATGCTGGTGCCCCTTCCAATTCTTCGTGTTCACCCTTGATGCGGCTGGCGGACAGAAGAAAGCGGGGATAGCACAAAGGAATGCGAGGGGTAAACGACTCTCTGTCGTCCCTTGCACTGGCACTCTCGAATGCGATACAAGGTCATGGTGGCCGCCATCTTCAGGTACCCAGTGTATAGAACCCGTCTGTGACGTCATGTGCAAGTTATGTATATCATAATTTTGTGCATCATCTCGCCACATCAACAAAAATCCAACCCAATCCAATCCAGGCCTTTTGTGAACCCTTAGCATTATAATACAAAAAATAATTTAGGAGAGATTCATGTTAAGATACTGTGGAATCTCGGTGGTACAGAATTGGCTGATACGAATTCATGAAATTTCCCAGCCAAATTCCAATTGGTTCATGAAGCCAAAATTCACATAGTCCAAACTTTTTTCCTGATTATAGCGTGTGATAAGAGCTTTGGTACCGAAACTGCGAGCAAAGGCCGAGAGCAGCGTGCCGAAAGCTTCAGAAGTATGCATGCGGCCAGTGCATGCACTGTCAGAACAGTGGTTATTGTTTGCCACAATCGCTGCAAACAAAATCGCGGTTGCTCTTGACACTATTCTGTGTGGCGACAATAAAACTAACAGCACTCCGAAAATGCGTGCTCATCCAACGCTCGACCAGTCAAAGTGATACTGTTTTCCGTAAGCACTGCAGACAAAAACGCGGCAGATGCGATCTTAGATGGCAACAAATGATGTGGTTTTTAAGGCACCTGCGCAGCTAGCGCATGCATGTAGAAACAGAAGCAGCGTATGCTGCAACTGCCGCACACGAAACTGGCCACTGCGATGTGATCATCGATCTACGAGCCCTGAAGGCACATGGTGAACGCAGCAGTAGATTAGAGGCAATAAATACGTAAAGGACACTATAAGCATTTCAGCGTTGCTGTCGATCGTTGCTTATGACTATAGTGGAGCGAACTTTGTTACTTCGTTTTCAGTTGGGCAGAAATGAAGTTTTAACCTGCGCTTCTGCGGCAGCCAGCTGTGCTGTCCATATGGTTCATTCAAGTGCGTACAAGGAAGACATACGCGAGTTCATTTGATGGAAATAAATGTCTTTTGTGCATATCATGGTTCAAAAACCATTTTTGCTAGTTTGTTGATGACATTTTGGGCGATACAAAAATTTTTTCTCCCCCTCTGAGATTTGCATCTTCTACTGCAGCTGGAAAACCCTTCGTTAGATATTTGGTAGGCTTTTGCAAATAGGGAATTTTAGGTTTGAAGTGAATTCAAAGGAAATAGTGATTTCAGTCGAGTAATTTCAAATTGAATTCGAATAGTATATGTCACATGTTATAAAGAAAAATGGGCATATTTATTATGGCCTAACTAACCTGCACAACACCTTTTAAAAATCGAAAGAAGGCCTGTGCAAATTTCATTTTTTTTTTTTTTGTTCAAAGGAAGTAGAAAGAACTTTGAACAGTAGCAGGATTTGACTTTCCGCAGAAAGCAAACGACAAGCTGTCAAATATGTTACATTTTAAAATTTGCTATACTTAGAGCATGTAAGCTGGTATGACAAGCTTTTAAACTTAAAAGATGATTAATCCTTGGGAGGGTAACATATCTATTTGATTCTAAAGTGGAGCTTCACAGCAGTGCAAAGTTTTTCTGGATAGGTGTCCTGACGATTTGGTACCCCCTACTCTGCAGGGAAACCACCTTTACAGGGGGTTTCATGCGGGCTAATATACAGTCGCCGACCGATTTTTCGGACCTGGCGGGGACCGAAAAAAAGTACGAAAAATCGAACAGTGCGAAAAATTCGTTTTCGCCAAAAATTTGAAGTTTATTGCGTCAGGCAGGTTTAAAAAAGTTCTTGATGCTGCCTTGCCTCAAACTACGCTTTAGGGCAATTTGGTTTGCCCGTATTTGCGCCAAGGTGACATCGTCGCCGTAAACGCTCGACAAAATTGTCACTGCGTTGGCGATCTCCGCCGCCGACCGCCATACGGCGTCGACCGTTATCCGGCGACATCTAGCTGCGAACGTCCACTCTCTATTAGCTTGATTATGGCAGCTTTCTTTTCCATCGTCAGGGTCGTATACTTCCCACGCTTCTTCACACCACCTGGCTCCCGCGATGGCACAGAGAGCGGAGCCATGGCACCGAGAACACAAAATTCGATGCCGCAGATAGCCGCTGCGAAGCACACAACGTCTCGACGCTACGCGACACAACACGTGCAGAATGGCGACTGAAAAAAGCTGCAACGACAATAAAAGAATCCTTCTTTCGCCTCCTCCCCGTGCGATGTGATGACGACAGTGCTGACCGAAGACGAAAAAACGGCATCCATCACCGCGTCTTTTAAAAAGCAAACACGGCCTCCGAAACTTAAAATATGGCGTGAGCATTCCAATCTCGGAGGCAGGAAAGGCATCTGAAGACCAAGCTTAGCCAAGCCGACGGAAAATCCAACATGGCGGCGTGCACAATGGCTTGGGGCGTGGCACAAAACAAGCGATTTAGTCCGAAAAATCGAAATTTTAGGGGCAAATTCGCCCGAAACATCGGTCGAAACAATGCATTAGCTCTATGGGATCCCTGACGGTGCATTTATGAAGTCTGGAATATCCAACAAGTCCGAATTTTCGGAGTCCGGAAAATCGGTCGGCGACTGTACATCTATTCGTTCATTTCAAATACATATTATATAAAGCCCATATTATGCAAATTTTAAAGCAGAAGCTCTATATGGCTAGGAGAAGCGAAAAACCATTCGGCATTGGTGGCCCGAGCAGTCTCCATTGGCTGTGCCATCAGTTACGTCATTCTCAGCACCGTACTCAAGTATGTGCGCCATTGGCTGCGCTGTGAATGACGTCTATCTCGTTGCAGCCATGGCGCTGAGCATGCGAGCATCAATTTCTATTGAGAGCTCCCGCATGAGAGATCTCACATTCCCTGTGCTGATGCTGCAGTCCGGGCACAAAAACAAGCGCAGGAGGCCGAGTGCCAGCAGCAACTGCGTACCGATGATACAGCTGCCTTCCAAGCCGCGCTAAATAGCAAATGGGAATGCAAGTGCTAGTGGTAGGTGGATCCTGCAAATCACACCGCCAAGTTAGCTCGTGATGTCAAACGCTTGCAAAAAGGGCGTGCTGAACAAGCGGCGTTACGGCCACAACAGTGCTTCGGCTGTGACGTCTGTGTGCGGCATGTGAAATGGACACCATGGTAAACCCTAGCCAAATGTGTGTCTAACCTCATTAAGGAGCACAAACATGTAACCAATAATTGTGAATGGCTTCAGTGCAGCATCAGGTTGAACCCACTGCTAAACGCCGGGGCTGCATGTTTCAGCTTTCGCTGGGTAACCATTTGCACAGAGTGCTTGGGCGGTAATATTTTTTCATGGTTCCCTCAGAGTTGTATAATTGAGATTCCACTTATGATCATTTTTTTTTATTTTTTTGCACTTGCATTTGTGCGGAAGTGTTGCTGTTTTGCCAGTTTCATGGCTGCTTTCATAAAATTTTGTCATTGTCTTTATGCATATCTCCGCCAGCCACAGAACCATTTCTTTCTTTGTGCACTTTATGTTCTTCCTTACAGAACAAAGAATAATGCATCTAATAAAATAATGACTGTAGTGGAGTAACCTCAGGTCACCCTCCAACTTCAGTGCAATAATGTTATGTGCCAGTGTAGTGGAATGGGTGCCGTCGTACCATTCTAATTTTAATCGGAGAAAATAGAACTTGCAGCAATTCCATTCCTTTCAATTTCTCAGAATGAAAAAACTTAGCCCATCCCCAATGCAGGAATGGCTGAGCAGTTCAATTCTATTGCTGTAATTCCTCAGTATAGCAAAGACATCTTGATAGTTTTATCGAGTTGAGAATGAACGCGAATCAGGTGCATTAAGAATTGCAAAAGTACACAAAACACGTAACCAAGGTGAAGGGAAAGTAGCTTGCTTGCATATCTCGGCCAGTACAACTGCCCTGCTAATTTTCATAGGGGTAGCTCTCCCATTCCATGGATTTAGGTCTGGTTTGTCGACCGTCACCCAACTGGCTGAAATAACTGATGATTTAATTAGAACGCTTAATTTGAAAGGTCAAACCGATGCCATCTTTTTGGATTTTTCTAAGGCCTTTGACGTCGTACTCCATCAGAATTTAATAACAAAATTATTAGCTATAGGCATTGAGCAGAAGGTTGTAGCATGGATCGCGAGCTACTTGAGTGACAGAAGACAGTGTGTTACCATAAATGGCTGTCTCTCGAAAGAGTTGGCAGTGCATTCGGGAGTTCCGCAGGGCTCAGTCCTCGGACCTCTTCTTTTTTTGGTTTATATTAATGATATTTATTTTTGTGTCGAGCCGCCGATCCAGATTAAACTATTTGCGGACGACTGCGTAGTGTACACATCCATAAATAACCAAGAAGACCAAATAAAACTTAATGATGCCTTGCGCTCAATTAACGAATGGTGTATAAGGTGGGGACTAAAAATAAATCGCTCAAAAACAAATTCCGTTACGTTTACCAACAAAACATTACCCCTTCATTTCGCATATTTCATAGGAAATGCTGCAATCACGAGAGCTGATCGGGTTAAATATCTGGGAGTTACACTTACCAGTAACCTCAGTTGGGAAACGCACGTT